GGTTTTAAACAATTATTAATAACGATAAAAAGAATTGTTAGACGACTTTGGGCTGACAGGTGGTTTCTTCATTTAAATCCGACGTTTACGGTCATACGGGTTGTGGTCCTTCTCAAGGAATTCAACAATCTACATGTTTAATTACAGGACATTGCAACTCAAAAGTATGTTGACCACAAAGCGAAATCCACGCAAGTCAATACAGAGTAAAACTTGCAATATTATCAATATTATTTTCAGTTGTTGGATATTATTGTACTTACAGCATATATTCAATCTATTTATCTCGGGGTGACGTAATTATGGTTGCTTCTAAGTATACCTTCTTTACGCGCGAAGATATAATGGCCTTGTAAATTGGAACTTGTGAACGGGACGAGGATATATGCGAAAATACGAATTATTTTTAACTCGTTATAATAGAACGATATCCTTCTGTAATATCGGCATAACTTTCGATTAACGAGAGGCAATTGTTTCAGGGAATCACGACAGTCATTCATTTTCATTTCTCGCAACTTTGATTAAACCTTGTGCGTCATTATCTATGCGGTCTATCCGCTGTTAACTTTCGATCGAGAGTGCGACGTCGAAGTCGGCGAGAGCGGCCCCAGGTCGCACATTTAAATGCAAATGCACTTTTTACTTATATTTATATGCAAATGAGCTTTTCTCACGATGAGAGAGACGGTCCCGGCGTTGCCGGTGAACACAGTGTGCTCGAAAGTCATCCTCGCCTCTTTTTCTCTCTCTCTCTCTCTCTCTCTCTCTCTCTCTCTCTCTCTCTCTCTCTCTCTCTCTCTCGGTCCATACGGCGGTAAAAAGCAGCTCGGCACGCGATGCCGGAAGATAATTACTGCATCGCCCGCGCGAAATGCGTCTCGCGCGATTAAGCGAAATTGTACGTCGCGATTTCAGGAATTTTAATCATTGGCAGCGATTGCGACTGTTGTATTCGTGAAGGCCACCGCGATCGAAGGCCAGCTAGATCGCGGCTCGTTAGTATGAATCATTATTTTTTTATCGTTAGTGCCGTTAAAATTCATCGACGCGCGTGATTTAATGCAGGTTATTACAGGATAATCCCGAAGTATTCCGAGTAAAGCTGCTTAGGTGCGACCGACGGTAGGTGACGATTTATGGAAATGCATACAGCGTTCTTAAAGTAGGAGGTTCGCGCTGTCTTTCAGACGCTTTGAAAGCCGCAAGAAAAGTGACTGTGCGTGAGTTTTTGAATGACTATCGCTCCATTACGGATAAATTCACGGGAGCGCGGGCAGTAACGGGGTGAATTCTTCATACGTCGGGGGAACAATATGCTCTCGAGTTACGGGGAATTTTTCTCCAGGCACATATTGCGACGACCCTTATCGTTTCGCGTTAGGGGAATTCCATTTGGAGACATCGTGCCTTCCTTTTCTTCCTCGCGTTACGATACGCTCATTGTACGAGCCAGCCGATCAAGATTCATACATACGCTTCTATAGTTATGTCGGTTTTATTGGACCTTCTCTCGCCGGTCGTCGTCCACAAAAACGAGCGGGATCATTTGATCAGACTTGATTCGCTAATTTTCATATGAATTGAGCGAAAATCGCAGACGCAAATCTCGGTATGACAATACAAATAGGAAAAACAGTCCGATTTGAGAATCGGAGTGCATTATATAATGTATTTACCAGTCTCCACTTACTGGTCATTTGTCAAACAATCGTTGTACATAACAATGTCGATTATACACTTCCTATTGATGCACGGTGATTTAATGAATCGAAGACAAACGCAAATCATCGTAATTGAAGGGTTTAAGAATAGCATGCAACCTTGAATTGACTGCGAGTCTAATTTTGCATGAAAATAGCTCTCTTTTTGCGCTGTGAGATCGATATCTATGCAATTTCAAAGTTTTTGCTGTTATTAACAGTAAAACAGCATTGACGTATTCTCTTACGCAACCACGCGATGCAAAACAATATCGAAACTATTACTCTTCATTTTACCCGAGTAACGGTTGGAACGGGCTGAAAAAGTTGGCCAAGTTTTAATTACGGGTCACGCATTAAATCCTGCGATAAACATACGTTGTCTTCTCGCAAACGTACTCGCGTTCTTGTTTAATCTGTTTTCTATCGACGCGTATGTAATTCAGTGCCATTGCGTATCAGCGAGACACATCGATATCGCGGCGCCAGTTATCGATGACCGTCACGGCATTGAGCGTGTTAATCGAATATCTGGTAAATGGTTGCCGCGGCTTAATTACGTTACGTATCGGAATTACATGTTTGATATGCCACGACAACATTCGTGGCTCTCATTAAACCTCGCAGTGCAGGGTCGTTTTTAAATCGAGTATGAGATATAACTACGGATTGCCACGCGGTCCGTCGTGTGCCGTCAGTGACAAACAAACTTGTCTTGTTTCCGCACTTGTTCTTATCGGCCGTGCTCCACCGTCGGGGGAGGAGGAGGATCCTCCGCTTCGAGGAGTCGATCTGCAATCCGAAAGTTGTCAAGCGCACATCGCGGCGCCTTAATGGAATTTGAATGTCGTTAGCCGAAGTAACCGGGCGTGAGGAAGGGACGTTATCCCTATTACCTCCGTCGCTCTGTACGGTGCGCGAGAGACTCGCCGAGTTTATTGGAGCACGAAAATACGCCAGTCGATCGTTGTCCTTTGGTAGTTTAGGATCGTCTGACACCTGCTTGCGAGCCAGCGAGAACAGCTTCGTACTTGGCGTGGACAGTTATTTACTCTGTCACTGTACCCTCCATAAGTTTGGAAACACTTAATAAAAGTGTGTGATATGAAAGGAATACGTAATGAAACCGATGCACTTTGTTTTGTGTTTATTTCACTAAAGAAAACTAAAACGAAGATACTTACGTGCATACGACAAGCTTTTAATGAAGATTAAAATTAAATTTTAGATTCCTCAAAGTAAACCACCTTTGGCTTTAATGACTGCCTTGCATACTCGCGGCATGCGACGGATTAACTTTTGCAGAGATTCGGTCGGGATACGTTTCCATTCTTGCAGGAGAATCTCCCAGAGATGCACTTCACTCGTAATTCGCTCTTTGCGAATCCTCCTGTCTAATTCGTTATCTAAACGTATCGTAATTTTATCGTTATACAGGGTGAGTCTTTTCATATCCGACAAAATTTTTGAGAAGGTAGAACGGATCGAGATGAACGGAAAAGTCCTGTACCATTTTGCAATTTTCGTAATAGTTAACGAGTAATTAATTATTAAAAATCGTTGTCTTAGGTCGGCCTACCGTCCAATTCGAGCGCGTGGCAAGATGTGTCCGCCCGGCGATCGATATTGCTATGCGCACATCTCGCCACGCGCTCGAATTGGGCGGTAGGCCGGCCTAAGACAACGATTTTTAATAA